TTTTTGCTTTTATTTGTATTCTCTGTACTTAGAACAATGTCTGACACACAGGAAGTGCTTAATAAATGCTTGTTGATGATTTGACAACTTCACATCTGTTCAAGAAAACTTTATACTGAAAAAAGGAGAGGGAGGAAAAAAACCTCCCCACATTCAGTACACCAATCTACCAAAACCAGAGACCATAAAGTATAACAGATATAACATAAGAATCAGAATTACAGAATAACAGCATCTCAGAGTTAGAAGAACCTTGGTGGACATCTAGTCCAACCTGACCTGGATGGGAATCCATTCTCCAATGTGTGTAATAAGTGGTGACCCATCCTATGCGTAAAGCCTTCCAGCAAAGGGGAATCTATTACATCCCAGTTTAGCCTGTTCTACTTTGGAAGAGCTCTTATGGTTAGGAAGGTTTTCCTTACAGAGTCTAAATTTGTCTCTTTGCAATTTTTATTCTGTCTCCTGGGTCCAAGTAAAACAAGCTTAATTCCTCTTCCTTGTGGGAACTCTGCAAATATTTAAAGACATCTACCAGACATTTCCCTCTGAACCTTTTCTTAGGCTGAATATACTACTTTTATCAAATGAGTGACGGAGCATGAATAGGAGACCCTTCACCATCTTGGTTGCTCTCCCCTTGACGCCGTCTAGCTTTTATCAATATCCTTCCTAAAATGTGGTACCCAGAGTGAAACAATATATTAGAGGTAGTTTGGTGGGCAGCTGAGTAGCTCAGTGGATAGAAAGGTGGGCCTAGAATTAGAAAGAACTGAATTCAAATTTGGCCTCATATATTTACTAGCTGTGTGACCTTGGGTGACACTTAACCTCTATTTGCCTCACTTTCCTCAATTATAAATTAGAGATAATCACAGCAGGGTTGTTGTGAGGATCAAATGAGATAATATGTGTAAAGTGCTCAGCACAGTGCCTGGCACATAGTAGGCATTACCTAAATGCTTAGGACAACATATAGAATAGAGTACAGTGGAATTATCACCTCTTGAGACATGACAGAGTATGGTGGAATTATCATCTCTTGAGACATAAACATGAAGTCATAACTGGGGTGCCTGGCCAGGCCTTTTTTTCCAGGGCAGGGAACCACCCAAGGATGAAATTTGCCTGAGGATGGGCTATTGGCAGTTAATGAACTAAGGGATAAAGCAGGGGCAAAGCCTGATGGTGGGGAGGGCATAGAGCTGTGGAAGGAAGAGCAAATAGTAGTGCAGTGGGAGTGGAATGGAACCCAAGCTGGAAGAGCAGCTTAATTGTTGCCTGATTTTTTCTTGGGTAGAGACTAAGGTTGGCAGGATTCAGATTCTGGCAAGGTTTAGGGTTGGCAAGGCAGACCTGACCCGGGGTGGGTGAATTGGGCCAATGAGTAAGGTGGCCATTCAGGGACCACCTCACAGCACTTATCTTGCCCCTGCGGAGAGGAGGCCGGGAAGAACACATCCTCCCATAGTAAGACTTCAAGTTGGAGGCAGGGAGGTCACTTCAAACTAGTGGGAAAGTCAGAGGGCAGTGCCTCCACTCCTGTTGGAGGGCTATTGCTTTGTGGGGATACTTTTGGACCCTTTTCCTTTCCCCTTAAGCCCTTCTCTTCCTGGCTTCTCAAACTTTTCTGAGGCCCTAAGTCCCATTTTTGGGTGGGTTTTAGGACTGAAAATATGGTGGGCCCTCTTGGTGGCAAGAGGAGAAGTGTACTTGCAAGGGCCAGGCTCTCTTGGGGAGGGGGCAATATTCCTGCAAGACCCAGTAGTCATCTGTTACTTCTCAACACCATTTGTCCCAGGAGCAGGACAATGGACTCTGGGGCATATTAGAATGTCCGCCATTTTTGAGTAATGATTGTTTCATTCTTCCTGCTTGTAGCCTCAGTACCTAGCTCAGTACCTGGAACATAGTAGATGCTTAATAAATGACTGTTGATTGAAAGACTAATTGTTTGATTCAAGGCAGGTGAGGGAGAGAGCTCCTTAGGGCCCACTGGAGGGCCTTGCTTCCTGGAAATTCCTCTGCCTTTTCCAACTGTAAGATCTTTTCTTTTTCTTGAAGCTCTGCCTTCCCAAGCTGCCCTACCTTTTTTGTGGAGTCCACTGTGTGTATGTGTGTGTGTGTGTGTGTGTGTGTGTGTGTGTGTGTGTGTGTGTGT